CGCAGAAGCTTAAGAGGTGGTGATAGAGAGGTAAAAGCCTGTCTTAACGTGCTGTCAGGGTGACTGCTGAGCTCCACTCAGCTGGACATGAGTACTGACTTCTGGGTTTGTCCTTGCTGTGCTGCAAAGGTCCTTTTCCAAACAGCCCGTGTCCAGCTCGCAGCCGCTGGTCTCCCTGTTGCTACTGTACCAGAGTATTTATGTAAAGGTAACTCCTGGGACCGTTTCCATCTCCAGGCTAGCTTGCTTGCAATTTAAATCATTCTTGGTTTGGCAGGTGAGCGTGGAACAGATGAAGCAAAAGCAGTGCTGCTGCCAGGAGGCTGTCCCCAGGATCATGGCCTCACGCACATGCGACACGTCTGACCGCCCAGTGACCTTGAAACTGAGCTGCCATGAGGGAAGACAAGCAGGGCAGCAGACTGATGGCCATCGCTGCCAGTCCAACAGCAAGCACGGTCCTGCACAGACAGTGGGGAAGTGATGCACTCTGACACCTCTATAGCAGGAAACAGGGTTATGCTTTACATATGTTTTAACAAATGTGCAACATCCCACCTGCTGCTGGGCCATGCTTCCACCCTGTTCATTGATGTACGCACGTTTCCTAACTTGCAGCATGTATTAGAAGGGTTAAAACTGAAACAGAGATAATTTTCTTCCATCCCCTAAATTAGATCACCCGTATCCAGGAAAGCAAGGTGTAAGCTTACTTGCAGTTTCACATAGAAGCTTGGATGGATTAAGAGGCAGGGGTTATGCAAAGTTACTGTTGGAAAATTGAACCAGGCAAATTCAGTGCCTGCTGGTTTGGTTTTTAATCCCTGCCAAGGGCTGCAATAACATTTGGCTGCTGCCAGAGCAGCTCGTTCTGCGCTGAGGGACCAGCACACAGAGATACCTCTGACAGGAGAAAGCCTGGATGGGCACCATGTACCCAGAAAGTGGTTTGCAGAGCAAGCATGTATGAAGGAGGCAGCCTCAAGGCACGACAAAGTGCACTAAGCTAAAGGTGAGATGCCTGCTACATCCCTCTCGACAGCACAGCAAACAAAATCAAGAAAAATCATGTCATGGCACCACACTCCAGCTGAGGAAGGCCATGGGATAGAGAACTGCAGTGCTGGATCAGGACATACAGGACAATACTGATGAGAAATCAACAGTCCCGGCTCCAAGGCTGATGCTCCATATCTAGAGGTTATCTCCCATTCCCATCAAAGGCAGCATTTTACTCTAGAAACCAAGCATGCCTACACAAGAGGATTCAGCTGATGCCTTTGTGTTACCAAGTACAGACCATGACAAGAAAACCAGCCACAAACCCTCATTTTCTACCATCACTGGAGATGCAGAGGCACCCAAATTGCAGGTATGAAGAGGTAGGGACAGTGAAGACACACGATTTTGCAGCGAGGACCTGGAGCTTCAGGTTGATAAAATACAGAAAGGGTGATATGTCTTACCTTGTAAGAGGACTTGCCTCTTAAGGCCAGACCTTGCAGGAAGGGCTACAGTCCTGTGAGCATCCCACAAGCACAGCCTCAGTACAAAACCCAGCTGAAAGCTGCACCTGCTCCTGGCAGCCCAGTGATGCTGCAGCAATCAGGGTTCACCCCAGTCGACTGTAGGCACTTGGAGGCCCATGGCCTGCCTCTTCCAGGCAGGACGTGCTGAGGGGAATATATGGCCCCACCTGGTTTCAAATACACATACTTGATAACCTAACCTTTTTGACTCCCCAGTGAACATGAAATATTCTGCAGTTTATGGGATATCATGCCATAATGGCATAAATCAATTTCAAATCAGATTTGGCTTCCAATTAACTCTTCAGTCTATTAGAGATAGTGCAGGTGAAGGAGATTCCCAGTGCCCAAGCACCCATCCCACATCACTAACAACATGGCAACTCACATTTCCATTTGCAAAGGATATAACAAACAGTAGTAAGTAGATGAGTAGGGGTTTTTTTATATTTAAGAAAAAGCAGGATGTTCCCCCTGAGCCTGAAGAGCCAAAGTTCACAGCTAGGCTGAGCAGGGGACAAGGGGCCAGCTTTGGAAGAGGGGAGGGTGACTGCATTTGGGAAGCTTTTTGAACTGTGACATTCCCTTTACATGAATCATTTACAAGTAGCAATAGAAGGTACAAAATGAAAAGAGAAACATCAGATTTTGCAAAAGAAGTGTATTTTAAAATCTGAACCAAATACAGTTTGCATGTATTGCATGAATCACATGCAGGTGAATACTATAAAAGATAAAAATACCTATGCACACATTTTATAAATCCAAGCATTTATATATAATTTATAAAATCATCATCGCAGAAAATAGGTATGATTAAGAACAGAAATTTTACACATAAAACTGGATGAATGTCCCCATCAATCCGTGCCTTTCCTGGGACTGATTCCACCCCACAGTTAAACACTCAGTTTGCTGTCAAGGTTTTTCCCAGTTCTGGACCCATCCACTGCAATGTGGCACCTACCCAGTGCTTCTGTTCTGCCATGCAGCTGCACACTGTAAAGCACTCCTGACAGAAGGTGTCTTAAAGCCTGTGAGCAGTGCTTCTGTGGTGTGTGGGAGGGAGGGAGGGAGACTGAGGATGGGACCTCAAGTCCAGCACTCACCAAAGGCACATGCCCTGCTGAAAGACTCATTGAAGCTGTTTGCATGCACATGTAAAGTCCACACAGCCTGACTTAAAACAGGTTATTCACAGCCTGGACAAACCTAAAATGGTTGAAGGTGCTGCCTGTGTTTCTTCTGGAGACCACTGACCTGGTTTTAAACTCACAGAGTTCTTTCACGTGCATGCCTCCTGCTTCTCAACGAAACTCGCAGCTATGTTTTGGAACTTGATTCTTTTATAGGGTCAACTGATGGCAAAGCACCTCCTTTACATTCTTCAGGTTAATTTTTCTTGCAGCCAGGAAGACACTTGGCTTCTGTATGTGGTTAAAAAGATGTTTTTCACTGTACATTCTACTGGAAAGGCACTGGGGCCATGCTTGAAGCTCCGCGATCAGAGCATGTTATATCTTAGTAGCCAAGCAGACCACATTCACTGCTGTATTTCTCAGCAGCTCATTGGTCCAAGAGCTGATACATATATATATATTAAATAAGCAGCCTGAGTTATAGTGGCAACCATCCTACAAACAGTCAACTGCTACTCTACAAGTATACACAGTATTGCAAGATGCATGGAAGACCAACCACAATGCTGTGCAGCACCAGAAAATGATGGCATCGTATCATCACCACATGTTGTAGTCACCAGTCACCACTCAGCTCCTTCCACAACACAGTTTAAGGACATTGCTTCTACCCCTCTGCATGATAGGAAGGACTCTGTCCCGTCCCCTAGACAGAGGAGTTAAATTAAACAGTTTGAACACAAGCCTCAACATTGTCGTAACAACTCTGCTTGGTTCTATGTAGTGAAAGGACCTTTTAGTGGAGGTTTTCTTATTAATATCCAAGATAAATCTGTTACAAATCACAATGTTTTGTGTTGGAGTTTTCTTTCTTCTGTTTTACTTTCTGGGGCCTTTTCACGATTCGGGATTGTAGTGAGTAAAACCATACACATGGAACTAGCCAGGCCTGGCAGTGGTGTCAGACAACACTGTGACAAGTACAATAATCACCAGATTTCTCTAGTGAAATGCTCAGCCATACCCAAATGTGGATGTCTCCAATCTGTGCCAATGATGCTTGCTGACAAAACCTGCCATCCTGGCCAACAGGAAGCTCCAAAGCCCAACATCAAGAAAGTGTCAGCACTTGAAAAGCCTCCATCTCTACATCACCTTCTCATCTTCAGCCATTCTTCCTTCATCCCTAGGCCCCAAGGGATAGCGTGGCATTGACAGAGCTTCGCATGCCCCAAGGACAGCGCTTTGCTCTTGGCTGGTTGCCTCTTCCCCCACCCCACCAGCCGCTCACTCCCCCCGCCTCAAATTTGAGCTCTTCCTTGGCTTGCTCTCCTGTTTCAGCAGGAGCAACCCCACACCCCACAGGGCCAAGTGTCCCATAAGCACAGCCATACTTCCAGTACCCCCAACCCTACAGGAAACCAGCCACTGATGCATTTCAGCAGGGATTTTGGCTTTATAACCAAAGATTCTTGTCATCTTTCATCATCTAGGCCACTGTTCTCTAACTATGGGACACAGTGGAGTCAGCTATTTCTATCCTGAAGTTAATTATGTACAGTGGTTCCCATGACCTTGGGTTTGCATGGCAAGGTTTTGGTAGCAGTGGGGACCACAAGGGTGACTTCTGTGAGAAGCTTCCCCTGTGTCCCATAAAGCCAATGCCATCCAGCTCCAATATGGACCTGCTGCTGGCCAAGCCCAAGCCCATCAGCAATGCCGATAGCACCTCTGGGATAACATATTTAAGAAGGGGAAAAAAAACCCTGTGCAACAATTGCAGATAGAGAAGAGAGATGTGAGACAATGTGTGAGAAACAGCTCTGCAGACACCAAGATCAGTGAGGAAGAAGAGAGAGGAGGTGCCCCATGCACTGGAGCAGAACTTCCCTACAGCCCACGGAGGACCCCACATCAGAGCATGTGGGTATCCAAAGGAGTCTGTGACCCCATGCAGAGAGGAGCCTGTGCTGGAGCAGGTTTGCTGCAGGACTTGCGACCAATCAGGGACCCACGCTGGAGCAGTTTATTCCTGAAGGACTGCACCCCATGGAAGGGACCTACAATGGAGCAGTTGGTGAAGAGCTGCAGTTTGTGGGAGGACTTTCATTGGAGAAGAGGGTACAGAACTGTTTCCCATGGGTGGGACCGCAGGCTAGAGCAGGGTAAGAGTGTGAGGAGTCCTCCCCTGAGGAGGAGGGAGCAGCAAAAACAACATGTGATGAACTGAACACAACCCCATTCCCTGTCTTCCTGCACTGCTAGGAGGGAGGAGGTAGATAATTTGGGAGTAAAGTCAAGCCAGGAAGAACGGAGGGGTTGGAGAAAGGCATTTTTAAGACTTGGTTTTATTTTTCCTTATCCTACTCTGATTTGATTGGTAATAAATTAATTTTTTTCTCAAGTTGAGTCTGTTTTGCCCATGATGGTAACTGCTGAGTGATCTCTCCCTGTCCTTATTTTGGCCCACAAGCCTTTCATTATGTTTTCTCTCCCCTGTTGAGCTGAGGAGGGGGGTGATATTGCAGCTCTGGTGGGCCAGGGTCAACCACCACACCAGTGCAGAAAGGAATAAAACACTTTTTGGTCAAGTTACCAGCCTCAACAGACTCATCACATCTCTGAAATGGTGGTGCCATACATTACTTGGTAAGGAAGGTGCTGCACTCACATCAATCCTAACTGCTTGTGCAGCAGTGGCACAATCACAGTCGCACTGAAGCCAACTGAGGAGTACGTTATAAATTTATAGGGGACTTCGACTTCCAGTCGCCTCCGTGCTTCCAGGTCGCCAATGGGAAACTTGTATCGATAACCCAGCATGCCAAGAACCACGCTCTTCATGAGCTGTCGTGTCAATAGAACAACAAAGATCCCTACGAAGAACCTGGCTAGCATGACCATCACTATTTTACCAGTGATCAGAGGAAATCCAAGCTGAAAATTCCTGCTGGTGTAGGCTGGTGCAGCATACTGGTTGTTTAACCAAAATCCCACTGTTGCTCCAGCTCCAGCTCCTAAAATAGTAGTGGTGTCTCCCCTGGTAGGGCTGTAATAGTCTAGTTTGGGGTAGTTGTAACATAAGACAAGAGGCACAACTATGCAAAGCAGTGGACAGAAGGGACTAGTTAATAGCAAGTGATCTATCATGTCCCACGCAGGATACAAAAGCACAAGCAGCACAGCCGAAATCAGTGCTCCACCAATCACGTCCTGCAAAGAGATCACATTTAAAAGCTTTGTGAGACCTGGGAGGTAAAACAGATATTCTCGGGTCATCATAAAAGACCACTATCCTCATTCATGGATGGGTAGCAGTGGAAGAATGCACTGAATTCACAGCAATGGCACTGTCCACACACAGTGACAACCTGAAGCCTATACTAAGCAAAATGCAACAATCCATAAACCCAAAGTTAGCCCTGCCCATGTGAATGTATCTGTTGACCTATACTTTTCCTCTAAATAAGTGAGATTATCCCCCTCATCTGCCTTCATGCTTTAAGGGCACTCTCCAACTATGACCTCGATGGAAAAGGCACATGCACAGCTCCATCTCAGGTAAGCTGCCTTCATACAAACCCCTCCCATAATTCTACAGGTAATTTCATCATAACAGTAAGATTATCGCTTGCTTTGCATAAATAGGAAGATGCTGTCTTTTGTCAGAGACAAGCATTCAGTCTGGGAACACAGGCTGCAGGGGAGAAAAGTGCAGAGCTGTGCGATGTGCCATGATTTCTGCCAGCCATGGCGAGAGGTAAGCACCACCGGGTAGGAATTCATCAGGAAGAAATTGGTTGCCCAAGCCTCTGAAATCTAGTTTACAGTAAAGTGCCTGAGGCAAGTGCATAGTTAAAACCTGATTTATTAACAGAGGCAAATAAGGTGTTTTGAGAACTTCATTGTTTTCAACTGCATGGCTGGGAAAGGAGACAAGCAGGTAACCCCTAACAAAATCCCTCTGTATGAGAGCAGCCAGACAAAAAGCAATATTATAAATTTTCCTTTGCTGCTCTCCTTGCATCACTCAGGAAGCAGCAGTTTGTACTCTGACCATGAAATGCACTGCAAAGTCATGGACAGAAACATACTCTTCTCAAGACTATCTTTTTCACTGAGTCATAACAGTTGACTCCTACCATGCTTGGTCACAGGCTAAAATGAATTATTTATAAGAACTTCACTAACAGTTAGGCAGGAATGAGGGGACTTTTCCACAACAGAAATATTTAATGACTTTTTGTTAAATGCAATACACCAGTATGGCTGAAATTTAGCTCTTTATAACTTCCAGGCAATAGATTCACAGTACATTGGGTTTTAAGCAACTTCCAGAGCCATTTTGCGTATTCTTAATAGAGATTTCCACTTACATGTATTCCCTCATCTATGATATGGGGATAGCCACGTAAATTCACAAAGTTGTTCACAGATGCCTGATACATAAAATACCATTAGGTGTCAATATTTCATGATAATCCATCTTTTAATACCATCTTTTAATACACCAGAAGGCATGTATTTGGCCCAACACCAAGTAACTGCATCAACACAAAACAGCTAGGGGTTGGTCCCAGCACTGATGCTCAGAAATCCCATCACCACCCTGTACTTCCATTTCTCACCCCGCTATTTGTCCACCTCAAATTAGAAGAGAAAGTTCTGACATCTCAATGCCCCCTCTATGTGCAATCAAGGAGTGAAACTGAAAAGCTGTTCACGTGCTTTTCAGTTCCAATTGAAGACATTTAACCAAACATTAATATTCCCCTAACAAAGGCTTTGCTGAGATTTATGCAGCAGACTCCAGCGGTTCCCAGCCAGGACACAGACAGCTTCTATTTACAGACCTGATTAAAGTTGCCTGATTTCATTACCCTCCTGGTCAGCCCAGTCCATACAGTGTGTCACCATACGGTAACGCAGCTCCTCTAGTTTTCAAGAAGGACTCAGATAACCAGTTCTGCTCCTAACCAGCAGTCTCGAGACTGCATGCATAAGGAAACTCGTCATGCTGTGGGAAGAAAATACCTTTTGCACCACTACTGAGTAACAAAAAATGAAAAATATTTTAAAAGTAGTGCTTATTTCATCCTTTTTAATTTATATTTTGTATGTATCAGTACAGGTATGTAATTCATAAATAAATAGACATATATTAAGGGTGCATGCTCAAAATTTTTTACCGATCAAAAACGTTGCGAGACTGGTGGTTTATTCTGTTCCCTGCTCTCTCATCCACTAATATACGGGGTTCTCATTTTGGAGAGTCCTTACTAGAAGCTTCTGGAGAGTGCGAGATATACCCAGACAGAGACACCAGTAGTGACTCTCTTTAGTTCTGATACGCATGGGCAGATGTTTGATTTTCTGAACACCCAGAAGAAGCATGCGAGTTCAACACTGGACAAAGACATTTAGCAGTGCAGAATTAATGATTAACCCCCCCTTACTCGTTAAACTATGGAGAAGGTGGGAAGAGGAGGGATGGATCCGATTTCTGTGAGAAAAAATGCTTTTCTGGACTCTCCCTACTGTGCACCCAGGAGCAGGACCTTAGCTTTTCCCAGCTGCTGTCAGCACTCCCAGGAAGCCCATTCTTGCCTGTCTGCCTGTGTAAATACATTAGCCTCTTTCCAAACCCACAATTATAAAGGCATTTTTAAATGAGGGCAGGCACGAATTTTGCTCAAGGTGCTGCACTACCAGCAAAGCTTAAACCCTCCAGTTTCCCTGCTGGGATGGTCCAGCTTCAAAAGCACAGACAAGTCGTCCACAGGCTCCATCCCTCCCAGAAAGCTCCCCCTCTGCCACGCATCTCTGCCCTGCTCCCATACAGCACCTCCTGCCTCCTCTGCAGTGACAAGCATCTGCCTGGGTTTGACATAAGGGCAGCCCTCACTCCTATCGATTTTAACTAGACCTGTCATTTTGGTCTGCTGCCTAAAGAACAGGCCACTATTGGGTTTCTCACACTGCAAGTCATTCAAGATATTTTCCTGTGCTACAGGTACATTAAAAAATATATAAATAATAAAAATGAGGTAATCCAGTTGCATGTGATGCCTGGGAAGCAAAACTGCCTGTCACTGAGGGAGCATGGTAGCAGCGTGGTCCATGGGGACCAGCACCACTGCTGCCCTTCCTGTACTGGGCGGGGTTTTTGTTTCACAAGGCCCCAGCACAGTTTGGTTTAGGACTGCAAAAGCTTTCTGAAGGCAAGACCCTTCTATGCTCTTCCCATTGCAACTAAGGTTGGAATTGCAAACACTTGCAAAATGCTCCCAAAATATCCAATCACCACACCGAACATGGTGGTACTCAAGCATCTTCCACGATATTGCCAGTCAAAGTAACACTTTTTCTATTGTCATGTATATGGTCATGTATATGGTCACTCATTGCCTGAACCCTCTTCATGCTTTCATTTAGTGCGAGATGCTACTCACTCTCCCAAACAAAAATCTCATGTTTTCCGCTCCTAGAGGTTACTGTTTCATCTCACAAGGACTGTACTGTCACAGAGTGTAAAGTGATGCCAGTTCATTGCTTGTTTATCAGCTTTAAAATATTTAAATTAATTTCAGGATTAATGGTAGTGTTAAAAAAAAAGAATAAAACAGATACAACACAGGAGCTAAGCGTGGGGGCTGCAGCGAACCCTCTCCTAGAGGTGTGATCACCAATACGTGCACCAACACTGAGTCAGTGCACCTCAGGGGAAAAAGAAACAATTTACTTTGTTTAGAGAAACAACTTCCAGGTTTCTTTTTGGTCATAAAAAGTGACCTTTTCACTTCTCCCCATAACCTGCCCACACTGGCCAGTACAGGACATTATTGCTTTTAACTCAGGGCTGCGAGAGGGGAAGCTGCAGTACCACTCAGGTTGTCACAACATCAGCTGTGGCTCTGGAGTGAGCCGCTGCCTCCCAAAGCCCCTGCTGCTGGCTGGAGACAGGGCAGCATGCATGGCAGCCAGGAGGAGACCTAGCTCTGCCGCTACAGCAAACACTAAACCCAAATCCTTGGTGCATTAAGAAACATCTACTTCTGACCCTGAAGGGTTAAATGGTGGCTAAAAGCCTCCCTTCCTCCCCCTCCTTTAGGGGCTGCCCTCAAAGTTCTGCCTGATAGGATTTGCAATGATCTTGCTCAAATCAACCCTGGCAGGGGGGTTGGAACTAGATGATCTTTAAAGGTCCTTTCCAACCTAAACTAATCTATGAGCTTGAAACACTGTGCACTAACATGAGCATCATCACCCATCATTTCAAATACAAGATGACTCAAACATGCTCCAGCAGTGGCGAGACAGAAAAACTTGTTCACCTCCCTGAGGCACAAACCAGAAACTGGGCCAAAGTTTTAAGATGGACAATAAATGGGTATTTTCTAAAATATGATTCTCTGGGAGAAAAAAAAACCACCATCAAAACGGTCCAATTGTCTCAAATTGCTTTTTGCTCCTTAAAAATAACCTCTAAAAAGTTACAGATTTGTTGTTTCAAAATGCATCCAAATTCTTACTTTTCCCTTCCCAGGTAATTCCAGATTCCTCTTCTGTCAGCTTCTCCAACTCCCTCATTTAAGACCTAAAAAGAAGGACCCTGCCTTTCCTCTGCTTCTCCATGCACGTGAGATATTCCCACGTTGAGATGGTGCAGGTGGGTTGTTGTAATTATCTCTTAGCAGTGCAACTGCATCGCTTCTACCCCACCCTCTAGCTGGGTGATGCTCTCCTGGTAACAGCCCACAAAACGGGTGTTTATTCCCTTTTCCCTACACATAGTATTCCTTTCAATATGGTTATAATGGTGCAGATAGCCTGCATACCAGCTTAATGCCTCTCCAGAAGGTCTTTAGTGGTAACATCTCTTTTACTGACATGACTGGTTCTTTTGAGGCTGCTCTTGATCCAGAAACAACACCTGCAATGCTGAAACACAGACAGATTTGTAGAGCCAAGACTACAGAAGATGAGCCTGCACAGTGGACCTTCAGCTACAGCAAAGCATGATGCAACCTCCTTGCCACTCCTCTGGTTCCTCAAACAAGAAAAATTCAGTTACACTAAGTCAGTGAATATGTTACCCGTTCATTTGTTCTCCTAAAATATTATGATCACTTAATACATAATTATATCCTGTCAGCATTCATTTTCTATTATTAACTCAGTTAAGAGTCCATTAGACAGAGGTTATTTCAGCTGCTGGCTTGGCTGAGCAGCTCCTGCGCATTGGCCCCATTGCATGTTGGGCAGCACAGGGTGGGAGCCATCCCTCCAAGTGTGGAAAACATCTCTGAACTGCACTTCTTTCCCAAAGGAACCTGTCATTGCAGGTGGAATGTGGCCACAGAGAGAGGGATTGTATTTGGGCAGCTGTCATCACCAGGCATTTCCCCAGCTCTGTCCCCACCATGGCATGCAAAGCAAAGTACATTCACCCTTTTGAAAGGCAGCAGCGCTCACACTTCAAGTAAGGAGCTGCTTTTTCTTTTAAAGCCCTTTTTTATCATGTCAAAGGCACAAAGAACTTTTTCTTCTTTACCCTAAAATCCATCTAAATTTAGAGAAGCCTCATTATGATGGACCAGCAAGGGAAGTATGCCAAGAATTTTTAACTGATTGACTTAAGGTCACTAGCTAAGAAAGGGTGTCTCCAGCTTTGATTTTATATATAGTTTTGATCCACTGGGCCTGGAAGGGAAGGTCAAGCTCTATTTTATAGATAACCTTAATCTCACAAGGGCTCCCATTCTTACAGTCATTGAGTCTCCTTATTACAAACATACTTGGTAAAGAAATGCAATTATTTATGCATATGCAAACAACCAACAATGCGTATCAAACTCCTGCAGGGAAGTAGCTGGGATTTTTTATCTATACTTAGAAAACTGGACAACCCCTCTGACCACTGCATATAACAGATCAATAATGTTTCCCCTTATGAGGAACAAAGCAGCTACTGCATAATCAAAATTGCACTGAAATCTGTTCTTAAAGTAGGACTGACGTCTCTAAACAACTGTGCCCATCAAGGCTGTCATATAAAATCATGGATATTTTATGATTTTTTTTCTTTGGATGAAGTATTTGTGCATCTCAGTCCTTTAAGAATGAATTTCCTTCCCACTAGAAATGAGAAGCTTGACATAATATTATGTGCCATAGCCTTATATGTTAACAGGAGACATGCTGTCCCGCCGTCCCCTGAGGGCAACTCACTTGTCATGTGTTAGCCTCTCCTCTGCTCCCCACTGGTCACCAGCGTGACTCACCAACATGCTATTCCTTCCCTGACACTCCCAGGCTAAACCATCCTGGAATACTTCTTGCTGACAAGAAGTGATACTATTGCACAAAAGGCTTAGCTCAAGAGCAGCACCAGTTGCCCAAGTGCATTCCAAACAATTACAATTTCAAAATAGAAAAGTACAATTCAGATGCCACATCAAACTCACCCGGCTCCTCAACCCACACACACCGCTGCTTCCCTCATGGGATAAACAGTACCCCTGGAGACACAAATAGCAATAGCCTGAGGGTTTCCTCACAGCTGCTTTTGAACAGGCAGCCTGAACTTTAGTGGCATGACTCCTGTATTCGTCAGTGACATGGACTAGGCAGGATGAACATCGCTTGAAGAGTGGGAGATGGGAATCACTAAAGGTAAGCAGAGCTGGAGGCACGACCGGCACAGGGCAGTGCAGGGCATCCTTACCAGGACTGTGTGCATCCCTGTGTAGAGCCTGCTGAGACACACCAGCGTCGAGAACACAAACGCTGCTACCAGACCTAGTTCGAATGGATACTGTAAAAAAGGAAAAATAAATACACCCGATTACACCGTTATTCACTTTAACATCAGTACATACCTGAAATAAAACATCCAAACAGCCAGACTAACATAAGGATTTCAATTGGGAAGCATCTCCTGGGATCTACTTCCCCAATGAGATTAACATGACCCTAGAGGAGACCTCATATTGGCCAACATGCAATCCTGCTGGAAGGCCATTTCACTTTCTGTGGTACCTGCTTTTGTGAAGGTGCTACTGTGGGAAAGCCTGGGAAATTTGCAGAGGTTTTTTCCCCACAATAGCTACCTGCAAAATCCATGTTAGTGCTAAAAGCCTTAAGCAAAAAAGGCACAGCATGTTGTACAAGCAATGCCTGAGGTTGAACTGCAGCCTTGAATCACCCAAAGGGAACATTATAGCTTCAGGGACTGACAAGAAGGTGTGTGATCAATAGCCCTCAAGCAGCGGGCTTGGAGGGGAAAAAATCAATGACTGGGCTGAAACTAATTCAGCTATTAGTGCAGTCAGAACTGCTCTTCCTTGTGATACTTAAGGTTTATTCATCTTATACAGCTAGCTTTGCTTAACTCCCTCTCTGAATTACCTATGACCATGGGAAGAAGTGTTGAAATAAATCAACATTCAAATGGGAAAAAAAAAAAAAAGGAAAAAAAAACCTCAAACCAAAACACATTTGGTAAAGAATAAGCTTAACATATGAGCCCTTAATCCACTCATTCAAATTCTGCAACTGAGTATCCTGGTGGGCTCCTTTCAGTCTATAAAGGAGAGTTTTATGAAAAAAAAATAAAAATAAACCAACCCAAAATACAAATAAATGAAATCAATTCACCCGATTTGACATCGGGCCTGTACAGCCAGCCGAGAGGCTGATGACTGACACGGGTGGCCACAGGTCAGTGAAAAAATGTGTCTGTGGAAATTCTAAGCATAACAACTCACTTCTGACCCTTTCCTCCCTGGGGTACTCCAGCCTTTGGGACAGAGAGCTCAGACCTGGCTGAAGATGTCACTCCTGGTTCATAAAACACTATTTTTTGCTCAATTCTCTAAGCCTTTGGAGGGTTTACACCCACTTTATTTCCCCCTCAGCAGGCCACATGGGAGCTGCTCCACATGGCAATTGATGACCTGGGCAGCTTCAGAGGCTTGCCGCATAATGGACTCCTAGATTTTTCTTTCTTAACAGAGGCAATCAAATCATTTAATTATTTTACAGCAGCTTTGTTGTTTCACGGCAGGTTCCAAGAAGTACAAGACAGCCTGTGAAGAGCTGCGTGTCCCACTAGAACTTATCAATAGAGGAGGAGGAGGAAGGGCTGCTGACCAAGTCTTTCAGGCAGCTCTACACATGGGATGCATCTGGCTTTCCAGGGCTGACAAATATCCCATCTTATGGCTCCTCCTGCCTATCCTCATCCCACTGTCAAGCTACTCTGACCAGTTACCATACAATTACCAGGGAACAGAGGGCTGGAAGTGCAGCTTTAGGCACCACTGACCTGCTCACTCACGCTTGCACTGTGGGCAGAAGCAAAGCCCACTGCTTCATGGCTGGGACCAGAGGAGTCTCCAAGTTAAATTAATTCAGAGATATTGGTGCAATTCAGAAATCTCGATTCCTACGAGCTACAGCCCCAGGACACAGCACCTTGCACTAAAATGGTGGCCAACTTTTGTCCCTGTGTACACGCTGGCACTGAAGGAATGACACCCAGAGACACTGTGACAGCAAGACCCCTGGCCATATTGTGAGCCCTCTTAGTTACACTGGTCTATCTTTGAAATACCCCTCAGAGGACTGAGAAACATGCTTGAATATGATGCAGCCTGGAAGTTATTATTGCTAGAGTACAGGAAATACATGTTTGGATTCACAAAATAAAACAAAAATAATCACTGGGGAGAAAAGAGAAATAAACCTTTTAGAAGGATTAAAGGCTGAAGGTCTGGGGAAAATAATTGAGATCTCTCCTCAAGCAGTGTACTGCCAGCACAGTGAAACTGCTGTTAATTCTTTGACAAACAAGCTTTCAATCATGTCATATGCTATTAGTCTAAAACAAGTTAGAGCCAGAGAATTTTCAAGGATACTTTTTCTGCACCATATAAGATCCAGGCTACCTAAAGCTACTTTGATTTCCCTAGGAGCCAGCATTTCCCAATGTACAGCATTGGCTTGATGGGCACACGGTGAGCACAAAATGTTGACACTGGGCATCTTCCACAGCAGAACCATGGCTCCCTTCATGGTCATCTTGTGTACAAAATGCAGTGAACTCCCAAACCTCGGCAGGGCAGGGCAGTGCAGTGCAGCCCACCCACAGCGGTGACGGGATTCATGCTAAAGAAAGGAGATTTCTGCTGAATCTCTTCTTGTGTCTATTATCAGCCAGCTATGGATAACCACAGCAAAAAACACGTCTGTGAGAATAAATACATAGCTCCTCTGGAAGCAGCAACAGCTTTGGTTTGGCTGGCTTTCTGTAGCTTGCTGGAAGCAGACACATGCTTTTCTAAATTTTTTTTCTCTTTTTTTTTCTTTTGTACCCCTTACCTTGTACTGGTTCATGGTTGCAATAAGAAAGGAGAAGGAGATGGCGGTAGCTGCCATGGCATGGGTGGAAGGCATCCCATACTCCGCGTCCGTCCTCATTTCCAGCTTGACAACAGGGGGCGAGAGGGGCCGAGGCCACTTCAGGATGTCCTTGGAGACTTGGCCTATGTACATCACAATCTGAGGAGAGGAAAGGCCACATGGCTGTCAGTCAGCATGGGCAATGCCCACTCAGCCCACCTCTATTTATGCGCTTTTTCCTGCAAAATCCACCACCCCAAGTGCAGAATTCATCCTCTGAATTATTAAAGGGGTTTCCATTATCCCAGTCAGTGAAGGAAGCAGTACAACTGCACCACGTTGTAGCCTGATCAGAAGTGGGACCAAAGGAGGGTTCACTGACCAGATGCAGCAGTACGGGCATGAGATGGACAGCTGGGTCACAACACCCCCTCCCTTACAACCCCTCTCTTGCAAATAAGAGAAGTTTTTCCGCCACCACGTTCAAATCACTGCCTTGCCCAGCTCCACGCAGCAGGTCTTCGAGGGCAGCACCAGCTCTCCTGGTCCCGGCAGCTCCCACTCCACCCACCGCACCAGATGCTGCGGGAATCCAGCCGGGATGCGCCACCACCGTGGGTATTAAATAACAGCCTTCGCGTCCTCGGGGAGGCAGCAGAGAGACAACTGGACGGGCAACATGAAAGTACCAGTTCTCCTGCCTAACTCTCCAACAACAAAGAGCTTTTGTGCACTGCTTGGGACACCAGAGGTTTAAGCAAGGACTTAATTAGCTACCAATTAATAGCTAACTAATTAATAACTCAACAAGCACTGCAACGTAGTGATTTTGGGGGGAAATGCTGCATTTTCAGGTCACTGCAAGCAGTAACAATGGGAAGCAGAGGCAAGATGCAAAACTGGGCAGCATGCCCGAGAGATGCAGCCTATTCAGAAGTGCCCGGGTTGAAATCCTCTGCTCCTCAGCACCTTCTTCCCAAAGGCAATGGAGTCTCAGCATTTCTCAGTGAGAAAGACGTGAACAAAAGTCACCCAGGCTGTTTCCGGAGGATGTATTTGTCCCTCCCTCCCTTTGGATGGTGCAGCCAGACATATGCAAAACAGGCTCCACAAAACAAAGTAAACTTTCTTTTTTTTAATACAAAAATCAGGTTAGATGTCTGCCATAATGTCTGCCATGAGAGCTCAGCTGCTGCTGTGTGAGACGGCTCGCTGTTCTGCTTCTCACGCTTCTGCTAGCAAAGGAGGGGGTCTTAAAATAACATCCTTCCTATGCTGGTGTTAGCCATATGCCAAAACAGCAACATGATCATCCGTTGCCACATTTGTCACCAGCCACATGGCATCCCTGGCTCTCCCACCAGCCATTTAAAAAAAATGGCTTCAAATTAAAATGAAGACGTCAGGATTCACAAATCAGGATCAGGAAAAAGCCAAAACATCACGTTCCTCCACCCCCCTCTCTGCAGCAAAGCACATGCCACAGGAAGTGCTAGGCTTACAGCCAGCAGCAGAGCCTGAGAAGCGACTGCTGGTGCCTTTGCATCCTTTATCCCTCATCACGTGAATCACATTACCACCTTATTATCAGCAGCACCAGTGACACACCTAGCAGGTCCTACCTCACCCTGATACATGGGGCACAGGGCAGTCAGCAAATACCCTGCCCCAGACTGCTCACAGTCAACAAGGGCTCAAGCACAAGCATCTTAAAAGAAACACCTTTGGGGGCTTATGTGGTTAATGCCACTGGTTTCCAAATGGATGCAAGCACACCTCTGGAAGTTACGTAAATTCCAGGGTTGAAAACAAAATTACTCTCTCCAACAGAACATAAAACATGGAGGCTACCATTTGTGATTCCATCTGAGAGGCAAAGTAGGATGAGCAAGTTTATCAGCAGTCCTTTGTAACAATTACTTCCACCTGTAGAAGTATTATTAGCACTAATACGTAAGAGTGTTACAGAAAAGGAAATGAGTCATCTTTGAAATGAAGGCTATGCTGGGACTTCTCTAATGCTGAAAAACAGGCTGGATGTTGGAGGAGGTATGGATAAGCAAGAGTACCAGGTATCCCCACAACACCTTTCTTATGGCATTCCAGATTAAATTCTGACCCTTCTATTAAAAAACAAACACACAAACCACATATTGTATAGACACATAGTGTTATGGGAGGCGAGATAAGCTCCGTAAAATATGAAGAGGAGTCCAGAACACGTTCAGACTAAGCACTGATCTCTGAAGCACCAGACCTTTGTCTTTAGCTCCTCTGGGTGCTGTGCACATGTTTTTACACACAACGTCCTGGGTTATTTGGCAGGAGCAGCGGTTGTGGGTGTGGTAGAACATCCCCCATCAGCTGAACTGGCAGGCTGCCCCAGAAGGCAAAGGATGGCAAGTGCACCACTGCTAAAAGCCACCCAGCAAAGGTGCTGCTCACAGGTGGCTGGAGGAGCACAGGGCTGCCCATGTCCTGTGGCTCACAGGACAACAAAGCAAACAGTGCAAAGCCCATGACACATCTGCCAGTGGTGGCCAGAGGGATGGCCCCATGGCATGGAGCAGGCCAGGCAGAGCACCAGCTGTAATCTACACACCTGTGCCCAGCCCACAGCATCAGCCAGTCCTGCTGGGTACCATCAAACAGCTGGCAACTGAAGGCAATAACCCTGTGAGTGTACCACGCCCAAACATCCAGAGCTCAGCCACAAACAGTGGAAACAACAACAACAAAAATAAAAGAAGCAGGAGGCCACCAATGATACACTCATTACATGACAAGTGTTCTGCAGAAACACACTTATACCATTATATTTCATTGTAGGATAGATCTGAATTGCACTCTACTGTGGCTTTCATCTTTTCATCTTATGAAGATGGTAAGTAACTGCCTTGGTTAAGTGGCATATTCTCTCTTAAGCCACATTTCATTATTTCCTGACCTTATTTCTCTGTCATTTTGGATTTACCCTCTAACCAGCCCGGGAAAGAAAGCAAGCTGCCTCAAAGTTTTAGCCTGTTACCAGCTTTTTTCAACCAAGTAGATGAGAAAAACACTGTAATAAACATTGTGAACTGTAACCATTGAAGCACTGGAAGGGGAGAAAGGTGATGGAGAGTTGAGAATGGATGACAGACTAAAGATCAACACAGATGCTTGACTTGAATTATCTGTTTGTGCACTGCCAAAAATCCTTGATGGCCATGGATTTAATTTAGCACAGGCAGAAATTACCCCAAGTCCAGACCAGCAGGTAACTTGGCACTGCTTAGGTCCAGAGGACTGGGTAGTTTTGCTGCTATTTCCAGCCTACCCCCTAGATGAGCCAAACAGTGCATTCCCAATGGATTTGGACAATCAGGGGTGGGAGGTTAAGGCCTGACCCAGGATCATGTCACCTTGTAGCAGCTGATTGGCAGCAAGTTTTATGTGCTTTGAAGTCTAAAGCAGGGTGATCCTTCAAGCTTGCAGTACAAGGCTTCACCCAGCTCCCCTTTCTTCACTAGGACTAGAGGATTTATGGAAAGAGGAGCTAGGTTCAAACCAGGCTTACTTAAGAGCTGAATTAAACCCATTTCAAAAGTCTTTAGAAGCCCATGTACATTTCCTCCCAAGGGGTCTTCCAAGCCCAAAGTTGAACATTGGAGAGAAGAAGGAAGAGGCCCTCGAACACTGAGTGAGCAGACAATACTTGCTGTCTGGAAGGCACGGCAAAGAAGAGAAACTTTGAGCAAATCAATTCATTGTTTCTTCCCTACGTTGCAAACTTCTTTTGCCTACCTAGAGTGCTGTATTACAGCTTTCAGTGTTTTCTCCTGTATTTATTTCTAGCAAAGGCTGTGCTCCACTCCAAATGAAATTCTTCCTCTCTGCAGATCAACCAACTTTTCTGCAGTTTGATAGGAAACTGTTTGCAAGCATCTTCAGCGTAAGTCATTTCAATTTGCACATTAATAAGTACCTGTCTCTGCATGGGGAAATTTCTCTGAACCTGTTTCCATTACTGAAGCAACAAAGTTGAAGCTGTGATGGACTGCGCAGAACACAATTAGCTGGAGAAGATAACTACACAGAAATGCATGGGAATTTAGTTCAGATTCCACAAAAGTGGATGGGATGGGACGGGCATGTCCCTTTCCCCTGGAAGCTGACAGCAGCAGCTCTAACTACCCTGTAGCTCAGACTGTTCAAACTTTCCAAAATGAAACTTTACCATTTCACACCTGAATTACGAAGATGTGCTAGGGAACAAGGGGTGTTGCTTGGGCTGGCAGGGAGGGAGGGGAGCTGGGGTTCAAGGATGGGAAAGGGAAAAGTGCCACAGCCCAGCACTGCAGCCATCTCAGATGACTGGGCGCCCACAAGTGGGGTCCAAACCTGAGTAGAAGCAAAGCGATGCTCTTTGGCATCACAGAGGACCATACAGGGAGCCTCTGTCCCAAGACCCCCACCACTCTTTCTCCTCTTAGGGGAGGTTAAAGGGCTCTGCTCTACCTCTGTATTAGCAAGTCCTACAAGCTACAGTTGGGATAAATGCCACAGTGTGAGCCCTTACTAAATAAATGATAGCAAAGGTAAGGTGGACCACGGTATTGGAGCAGAGTGTGGTGTAGGAGTCACTGGCAACAACCATGCACATGCATAACGCAGGGAAATACTGCTTTCCCTTCTGTACTGACATGTGTGCATGTACACACAGGGAAAAGTTGCTCACATACTGCTGCCCGAGGGGTACCCTCAGGAAGTTATGTCAGCTCCGTAGTATTTGTAGTGTCACTTGACAGTGACATGGCAGCACCAGCTGGAGATGTGGAAATCATATACTCATAGGATGGTTTGGGTTGGAAGGGACCTTAAAGCTCATCCAGTTCCAAACCCCCTGCCATGGGCAGGGACACCTTCCACTAGACCAGGCTTCTCCAAGCCCCATCCAACAGGTTGCCTGGACAAGGTGTGGCTGCCCCATCCATGAAAGTGTTGTGGGGTGAGCGGCTCTTCCCCTCCCTGTGAGCATCAGAGTCCCATCAAGTGACCTGGCTCCTTGACACTTGTATAACTCTGGTATTGCTTCAACGACCTAAGAACTGGGTTTGCTCACCTGCAGGTGTTGCCTAGCATTTTTCAGTGGCTTCCCCTCACCACTCTTGCAGTCA